TGAATTTAAAAGTTGCCATTTTCCCAAGTACTACAAGTGAGGTATCCAAGAAAAGTTTAGGAATGTTGCAATGGAGAATTCCTCTTTTCCTATTTATTTGCTGATTGAATGCTATTTACATATTATTTTATGAATGTTAAACTTCTATTCAGATAACATTTCAGAAAGTCCAGGACTAAGATAATTACCAAGAATAACTCTCTTGAATTTGAGGAATTCCCAGGAGGGTTGTGGAAGGAAAGGAATCCCTAAAAGAAGTCATCTCAGAATTTCATGCAGCACTGTATTGACATTGGTGGCCCAAGATAAAGATCTAAAATGGTACTTTAAGTTGCTGAAGATGTGGGGTTGCAATTTGTGTAATCAGGAGGGAGTACTGTAGGGAGTGGGGAAGGGGCAAAAGAGAAAGTTTGGACACTTTAGATATATTGTAGAGAATCTGCAGTAGTATTTCGGATTTTAAAAAATCAGAATGTAGATTATTTTTAGCTATTTCTTCTGACATTTACCTCCATATTTCTAAATAATGTGATGGTAATGTAATAGTTTTTCCATTTTAAATATTTTCTCTTAATTTCCTACTATAGAAGATGGGATTTAGCTCTCTACACCTGTTCCTCTCATCATCCTTAACCCTACCTCTCACAGACCCGAGACTCAAAAATAGTTGTTTCATAATTTTCAGTTAAATTAGTATTTACTATTTTTTATTTTGACTACATAAAAAAATTCACAGCTTAGCCAGGTAGTGGCATATGATTGCATCGCTCTTCTTTTTTTTCTTTACTTTGTTCTTTTTATACACAATAGTACTGTTTATTTGACATATTTATGCAAACATGAGTATGTCTTATTCTAATTAGGATTCCAGTTTTGTGCATGTATGTGATGTGAAGATTCACTGTGGAGTATTCCTATAAGTACATAGGAAAGTCATGTTAGAGTCACTCCACTGTCTTTCCTATTCCTGTTCCCCTGCTCTTCTAATAAAACTGGTCCTCCTAGAGTTAATAATTGATTCTTGTAGTTTCCTGTGTAACTATTACAAATTCTTCCATCCAAATTGTCTGGCTAGACTATAAAGTTCTTCTCAGTGTAGCTATCATGTATAGCTGACATATTCATCTTTCTCTTTCTTTCTTTCCTTCTTTCTTTATCTAAGTGATATCTTTTATAGAGAACTATCCAGTAGCTTTTGAGAATAAATGGGTTTTTTAAAGTGATTTTTCACATAATATTAAGGTAGGAACAAATTGCCATCCGAGTTGTTAAGGCATATTTGCTTGTCATCTTATTTCCGCTGTTACTTCTAAAAAATGCAATACCATTATCATTCCCAAGTCCTAAAATATAATTTCTCATTCTCTGTCTGATAGCATTAGGGATCATGCTTGCCTAATGATCTTGCCTCCTACATTCTGAACTTTCACCAGGATGGTTCCATTACTACTTCATATTCCATTTGTTTTCTTCGGTCTGAAGACTTGGATCATTAATTATGGGATATTTTCTGAAATTTTTTTTTTGAAAAATTTCTCTCACTTTTCTCTGAAATGCTACTGAGAAATGTGGCTCCCCTCCAAGGTGACTAATGGACTAAGAAAGAGAAGGAGGGCAAGAAATTGATGACCGCCTACATTCAACTTTTCATGGCATTTGTACACCTATTATGGCCATTGTTAGAACATTTTATTTTTGTTTAATAGTTTCTCACACAATATTGTAAGCTCCAATACGAAAGATAGACTAGATAGATTGTTTAGGTTTATATTTCTGATGTTTAGCAGAGCATCTTCCACATAGTAGGCACTAAGTAAACACGAGTTTAATAGAGATTAGGATATGACTATGGTCACTTCTGAATTACTACACTCTTGATTTCAGCTGCCGGGGCTTTACTTTGGGACTTGTTCTCACAGGATATAGAATCATCAAGCATAGTTATTATCAGCTGTCCTTTTAATCGGCAAGCCACATTATAAGGTGAATGTTTATTTCTGAAGCAAGTGCAAAGTAGAACATGATCATTAAATAGCACGGGTCGGTCAATGATTCTCCAACTAGAAGGTCTTCGATTATCATTGTTAGATACAATAACATTAAATTTTGTTTGATTTTAGGATATATACTGTATGCCATGGAATGCTTATGTTGAGGAGTGGTGTTACAAAATTAAACCAAAGAAAACTTTGTAACTGCTTTGTGTCCAAATATCCCATGCACTAACGTCACAGAAAGCAACTTTGGACGTTTCGCAGACATTTTTTCAGAATCATTGCACAACTAGAAGTGCATACAGACTCTTGTAATATTAATACAGTGGTGTTTGAGCACATGTGTTTCAGAAGTGAAAAATCCCCATGGAAATTCACTTCATAAAATCAACACCCTGGAATGACCTACACTTTTCCAGATCCTCCATCCAAATCTTCAGCAGCTGAGCTCATTTTGAATGAAAATGCACAAAAAGGATTAGAAAAGAAATGTAATATAAATGTGCAAAATAAGGAGTCAGTAATTTGAAATACAATTTTAAATAAGGCAGCCCGATGGGGAAGCCCATAAGGAAAGTCATGTTTTTTACTGACTTCTCTCTCTTACAGGACAGATTTTAGTTAATTCAGATATTTAGAAAATGACACCAGTATGCTCAGATACAATTGCAAATAATCTCACTTTTCTATGTACTTGTACTTTTTTCAGGCTTTAAACCACAGAAGTAGATTTAAATGAACTTTAAAATCAACATTTAAATAGGAAATCTGAACAGGAGAAGTTGTAGAGATGAAACAATCACAAGATAAGGAAATATAAAGATGACAAACATAATCATAATTATGAAAAATTTTTGCCTTAAAATTAAAAAGGTGTACATTCATAAGAATGACGGGGAATTATCCAAAGAACCTAAGTTGGAAATGAGATCAGGATTAAAACTGTGTTGAATCTATCTAAGTTACAATCTCTATCTCTGTAGTTAGAGTCTTTTAGAACTTGCTATTATATCTTACTTTGATGTAATAAAAATACCACTTATCAAACTTGAGTGGATTATGTTAGCAATTATTTTAAGATTTTTAAGGGCAAAATTGTTGTGATTTCTTTTCTCCATGGAAAATTATATTTCTCGTTTGTAAAAGAAATCAAACCAGAATTCAGGCTCAACTTAAATGTAAATGTGGCTTAGGAATGACACAGTAATACCACTTGGCATTTCTTAAGTTGGCCTGCTCTTTCTACACTGGATAAAAATAAAGAAAAGAAAGCATCTAAAACAGAACCGCCCTATTACAACCCAAATTTGCCCATGAAAGCAGAAATTTTCTGGCTTCCATCTATGCGTTTTTTCCACTTTCCGTAGCCTCCCACACTATAATGACTTATGCATGGAATTCAGAGACTTTATATTTTCTTTTGAGTGCAAGATGAATGCCAACATGGAAAATGTGAATGCTGGCCATTTTCAAAGATGGCCACAGACCTTTAGTGGAATTAAATAGTATCCAAAAAGATATTTGGTCAAGCTAGGGTACCAACATTCTAGTACATTCCTTAACTTCCCCAGTCTTTATAACATGGGAATATTTGCCTTTGGGGCATCTGCTGGGTCAGAATAACTTGAGATTGTTGATGGGGAGTCAGAATCCATTTCAATACACTGAAATGTCCCCAAACTAGCACAGAAGTTAATCTTGTTTATGGGTGAAATCAATAAGCCAATCCATGTTATGTGCTGACAGTTCTTGTGCAAAATAAAAGCTAAGTGCCTGCTCTTTGGGATTTTTCATTTACAGTCCAGTTATTTGGTTTCATTGTGGAATAATATTTGGGTTGCTCAATTTATAAGGTTGTGTTTACTTCCTCATTCAAAAGGATTTGAATAATTCAAGGCAAAAATACCTGGAAAGTGTTTTTATTCTGAACTTATCTTACACATGATTTTCTTGTTCATTTAAATTTTTGTGGCCAAATTCTAACTGAAGTACACAAGCCAAGCTCCTTAGATACCCAAAGAGAATGAGATTCAAGTTTCTGAAGATTAGACTTAATTGTTTTATCATATTCATATCTCCTTTCTGGTTCACTTGAATTCCTGAGAGGTATGGAAAGTTTATATATACTAAAGATACATAAGGAGAAGGGATGAAGTAGATTCTCCAAACTACATGGAGACAATGAATTTTACTGGCTGTCTGAGCCTGGGCCTTAGAACCAGTACTTAATTTGAATATGGACTTACTTCCTAGGTGTATATTTTGGACAATTTATTGAATTTATTTAAGCTTCAGTATTACTAGCTTTCTAGCTAGTGTTAGCAGTAATAGGATGCATGAACAGATGTATATGTCCTAAAATGCTATAAATTGTGTATGTTGTGATTTCTTACCCATGAACTGTGTGTTAATATGAGCCAAACTGGATTATTCTATATTTCTTAGTCATTCCCTGGAGTAAATACATCCCGGCCATTTGGGGTCGGTATTAATTCTTTCACACACTAGTACATTACACATGCTGTCTCTACAACTCAAGTTTTGCATGGCTAGTTCCCCAATAGCTTTTGCTGCAATTTAAACCAAACAACAAATGAATTTCTTTAACAACTTGTGTTCACAAAAATGAATTAAAGGAGCACATGAGCTAGAGCCATGAGTTTTCTTCTGGTGATTTTTCTCAAGTATTTCAATCCAAATATTTTCTTAATGGAGTTTTAAGTGTTTGGTAATTTATATCTTTATTCATTAATGGACCAGCTCCACTGCTTTTTAAAATTATTGCTGATAATTCTTGACCAGAGATATAAAATTTTCTTCTATTATTAGTCTGCTGCTTAAAGAAATAAACCTTTAAAGCTAGGAGACAGAAGCTTTAAAAGATTTCTTACTTCTGTCTTCATAACACAGATTAGTGGGTTTTTTTTTTTTTTTACCCAAGATAGATTTTGACACTAGAAATGTATCTGTAACTGCGTGGTTTTTTTTTTTTTAATTTTTTAATAGGTGGCAAAATGACAAACTTCACTCTGTTCTTTGACCCATGAATTTGAAATAATCTTTCATCGAGTTCCATCTCCTTGAGCCTCATATGGAACGCATCTCTCTGTCTGTTGTTAAACGACGATGACATGTCTGCAGCTATCAGAAAGAGAAGCTGGGAAGAACATGTGACCCAACGGGTGGGACAGCCTTTTAGTTCTGATGATTGCAACAGGGAATGTCATCATGGACTCGTAGCCGACAGCTTGCAGGCAAGTATGGAAAAAGATGCAGCCCTCAATGTGGACCGCAAAGAGAAGTGCGTTTCACTCCCAGACTGCTGTCGCGGATCAGAGCTGAGAGATTTTCCTGGGAGGCCAATGGGTCACATTTCAAAGGAGGTGGATGAAAATGACAGTCCTGAAGGTGAAGATCAGTTTCTTTCTCTGGAAGCCAGCACAGAAACACTTGTGCATGTTTCTGATGAGGATACCGATTCTGATCTATACCTTGCGGATGATAAACAGATTTTAACTACTACCCAAGGGCCTAAAATATCAGACCAACATAATGTCGAAGGAGCAGGCTCCTTAGTAAAGGCACTGCCTATCATGGAAAGTAACCAAGATTCTTATAACTCCTGGGGAATGGCTGGGGAAGCTGATTTGGTAGAAGATTGCGGGGAAAATAAAGTTGCTGATACTGTAAGAAGCCTGGAGCTTTGTAGTGATATAAGCTTAAATGAAACAAAGGATGTACCCAACGTCATTAGGCTTGATTCTTTGAATGGGAAAGATATTGTGCCTGAGAAGCAATTGCTGAATTCTGCCGTAATTGCCCAGCAACGAAGGAAACCTGATTTCACTAAAGATGAATCTGAAAGAAATACCCTCCACGTCAGACAAGATGAGTTCTTGGCTACTCCTTGCCCAGACCAAGGACTGCCATTATTAAAAGCAGATTTTGGAAGCTGCATTCTGCAGCCTCCTTCCTGCCCCAGTGGAATGTCAGCTGAAATCTACCTGGAGAAGAGGGGTTTCTCAGAACATCAAAACAAAAGTGCTCCAAAGGTCAACATGGAAGGTGGCATGCAGTGTTTACATGTGAGGGACTCTCTGACCACCCAGGAGTCCACAGACAGCCAAGTCAGACTTCGCAAGAGAAAGGTAAGACACAAGCACAGAGTATCTGGCTTTTGAAATTTTTTAAATATCCCCATTTTTATCACTTGTTATTTTGCTTTATTAAAAAGCTTGGTAGGCATTTCCTTTGCCCTATAATGCAGCTGTTTAACTTAAAGACTATCCACTTGGTGAAACCATCAACATATGTACAAATTAAAATACAATTATCTTTCAATGTCATTAATAATATTTATGATGGCTCTTGGACATTTTATTTTGAAATTGTGTTGAAGATATAATTTGACATCTTTTCTCTAGTTGGAACTGAATAGTTATCACCTAGCTCCTAATTATGCAGTTGAAGGCCTTGAGGAGTAAAACTTTTAGAAAGGAAGTTGTGATTTTTTTTTTTAATGTAGGATCCTTTATTTAGACCTCTTTCTTTTTCCCTTCAAAAGTATATTTTATCATAGTCAGAGTGGTATACATGTTCAAAGGCAACAAACAATCACTCTTCCCACCCTGACACTGTCTGACACTGTATAAATGCTACCCTGGCGTATTCACCAGCAGTAGATGCATCATGATTTCTATTTCTTGCCACAATTTTAAAACATCAAAAAAGCCAATGCCTAGATCCCTTAGGAAGCTTCCAAGTGAGAGAAGCAAACACTGAGGTATCACTACATTGATTTGTGGTTTAGCTAGTGAACTCTTAGCCAAAACTTCAGGATTTCTCCAATATTCTTTAGACAGTGTGGGGTTGTCCATTCCTGATAGAAGTCCAAATACAACTTCTCCTATACATCCCACCTACCAACTGGCATTGAGACCCTGCAGATCAGACACTTTGTATAATAATTAAAATATGCTTTCTTACCCTTCTGTTGATATAATCTTAATCTGTAGTTGCAGTTCTACCAAACACAAAACTAATGTTCTTAGTTATTTTTAATGGGGGCTATCTACCTACAATGAAGAAAAAAACCAAAACTTCCCCAACTGTCTCTGTGGTTAAAAATCTGGTTTCCATAAACTGTGGTTTAGCTAACAAACTAGATCAGTAATGTGTCATGAGCTCGTTTAATTGAAAGCAAAGACTTTACAGCAAAAATTGGTGTGTTCGAACCATGTGCCAACAGAGTATTCTGTGCTGCTGGCCATCTCTCCCTTCCTTACATAAATTGTATTAAAATGTTAATGTTCCATAAAGTTGTTATGATTGGAATGCTCGGGCCACTTTTTCAGAAATTTCCATATATCCTATCAATTCTGTTGGAGGGAACGCAATAATGACATAAGAAAGTCTCAGCCGACCTCTGACATAGCCCCCCTAAAATAAGACAAATCCTGCCCAACTGCCGACATAAACATTAAACATTCCCTAAACATGTGCTCACCATTTGGACATTTATATCAATACTAAGAATGCTGAAAAGGATTTACTCTTGGACGTGTCCCTATAGCTTCATTGTATTTTGAGAGCTGCAATCCTATCTCATTTACAAGTTCTAACTTAAATAATCTATATTAAGCATTTTGTTATTCTACAGCTTTGTGACATTATCTGGTGGAATATTTACCATGACTCTACAACCATTTGGGGGTGAGCTTGTAATGAACAGATTAAATGTAAAAATTCAGATTCAAAATTTACTCTAGAAAAATAGGGTTATGGAAGAAGTCCTTAGAACAAAAAAATGCATAAGAATTTTTGTTTTATTCATTTTGAATGAGTGTAAAAATGCCTTTAAATTGGCAATTCGCCATTTTCAAATCTTACTAAAGAAATAACAACATATTCATAAAATAATATGTTCATTGTTGTATTGCATGTTCCTGAAAACAAAAGAGAGTAGCCTACATTTCCATCAATAAAAAACTTGTTATTCGTCTATTGTATGGAATGCTATTGTCTACCTGTTGTATAGAAAGATTAAGTGAGATTCACATGCACTAATTTTGCTCATGACATAGTGTATCTGGAAATAAGCAGTGGCAGTCCAAACCTTATATGAAAAATGTACATATAGAAATCGATAAAGGTATAGACAGGAGAATAAACCTTTCTATACGACTGAGTAAGAATATGAAAAATCTCAGCTAAATGTGCACAAAATTAACAGCAATCTCTTTGAATGAGTAGAATTAAAAAGGTAGAAAGTAGACATTCTCACTTTTTACCCTACGTAATTTTTATAAAAAGTGATAGAGTGTGTATGAATGTATACATGTATTTACTTTGTCAGCTATAGCAAAAATTATAAAATGAAGGCTTGGAAAAGTGATTTATAGCACAAAGTGATATAATTTTAGTCAGAGAACTTGAATCAACTCATTATCTGATGGTCATGTGAGTGAATCAAATTCTTCACTGTATTTCTGAATGTGGGTTTATCAGGATGAATTTGAGTCAGCTTTCCATTGCGCTGACCAACATACCTGATAAGAACAAGAACAATTTAGAGGAAGGAAAGCTTATTTGGGGCTCATGATTTCAAAGTTCTCAGCCCAAAGATGGCCAGCTCCATTGCTCTGAGCCCACGGGGGGAGGACCCATTGAGGAAAATCTGCTCAGCTTCTGGAGGCATCAGGAAGTAAGAAGATGCACCCTTCCAGGGCAGACCTCCAGTGACCCGCCCGCTCAAGCCACACCCCATCCATGCAAACTAGGATGAACTGATTAAGACACAGCTCTCGTAATCTAATTATTTCATTTCTGAATACTCCTGCAATAACAGGAACTTTTGAGGGACATCTCACATCCAAACCATAACAGGATATGATCAAGATTCTAAGACTTGAAGAAAAAATCCAAACCAAAAAACTATAGGAGAGCTTATAAGAGCAATCACCCAGAATGTATTAAAATAGTTCTCTAGAGAAATCATTGGGCTTTAGATAGACGTTATCATTCCTTGGAATCCATATATCTTGACAGGCATTCATTGTTTTGCACAACTTATTTTTTTCTTGATGTCCAATAATATTTTTGACCATCCAGGATACACACACACACACACACACACACACACACACACACACACACTTACATATTAGAAGTCTCAATTGTAGAAAACTGCATCTGTAATATATCTAAGGATTGACCTTTTGAGCTAATAATTTCCTTAAAGATGATGAAATGGGTCATGAAACTGAAGCTACTAAAAGCAAAGGAAAACAAATGGGCTAAAAGCAGACATTAGTGAATGAGCACTGAGGTCGGGCAGATGATGAGTGGTCATAGGGCCTTGGCTGAATCCCTGGGGTGAGACAGCTGGTTAAAAGCAATTCTCAGAAACAGATTCCAAAGATGTCTGGAGGAGGGAGACAGTCTAAGAAGTGGTCTCTTTAAACCAAAAGAGATGTGAAGATGGAAAATACGCAGGGAAAGACTTGAGGTTAGATTTTTTTTTTTAAGAACTAGTATATTTGTCATTGATGGTGGTTCACAAATTAAAGAGAGTCCAAAATTCAGTCTTCTGTAAGGGCTATTTAAATATTCTCCAAATTTTTGAATAACCATAATAATTATATAAACTTATAAAATGTTTTATTTGCTCACATAAGACAAGGAATAAACCATATTACAAAGAAAAATAAACTTGAAAAGATTTCGCAAAAATATGAACTTTGAAAAGACACTGAATTCTACATTCCAATAAAAATCTAGACTAATTTTATGATCTTATTTTATTACCCTAGTATTTGTGAATCTGTAGACTTGACTACTGTCATTCAAAGCTAGCATAACAGTAGCTGAAACAACCTGGTTTTCTCACATACACATAGTACTTAGCTATAAGCAGTTCTGGACCAATAGGTAGGCTCTATATTTTCAAAACTCCAACCCCTTTGATCCAAACTCACCCCTGTCTTGAGACTTCAGTCATATTCAGGCCAGTGTGGTAGGGGATACAGGGAGATGCACACTTCTTTATCTCTCAGATTGCATGAACTAGAACTGAATTATTTGGCTATACCTAGCAACAAGAGGGCTTAGAATTGAAGTCTGCATTATGAGAGAGAATGTGTCTGCTAAAAACTCTATTATCATAAAATAAGAATATTTATGTTAAGGGATAACTCACAAACATATTGAGGAAAAACCCTTAACATACATATATACTAATGTACCCTGTCATGTTATAAAAGAAATAAATAGGTTACAATATATGTTCTGTTATATTCTTTGTAAATACTTGGTACTTGAAATACTTGATACTTTAATTTCACACTGCAATATATCTTTCTGTGTTAGGAATCTATTTTACATATTAAAGTGACATTGACCGAATGCTACACTATTTCTTATAGGATAACCATCTAGGAGCAAAATATTGCAGTGTACATATTTTATGTTAAGTTGCTGGAAAATGCAAGATGTTAATTAACCAAGACAAATAAAACTCACATATTTTCTTCTTACCCTATCTTTAAAAATATGCCTATATTTGGTTAAAGCACACCCATTCCTGAAATGGCATTGTCTTTGACTACTAAATGCCTCTATGGGACCTTTGTCCCAAGGAAAGGTTGATATTAACCCATAGGTGATATAAAAGATAGTAAAACAATACCCAAAATATGGAATAAGTCAAACTATTGACTGGCTGGAAGAATATAAAAGAGAAGGAAATTTTGCCCAAGAAATAAAAACCAAAAAAGATAGCTCAGCCATGGTACAACGTAATGTCACGAGATATGTTGAATAAAAGGAAGGACTAGGAGAAGGATGGTAGTCTGTGAATAAGTTATATCAGCCGAAAAAGAAGGAATGAATGGCATGCAGGACATATAGCTTTTTAGGTGAATTCATAATAGTATGAATTCATACTAAGGTCACTTTTAGACAGGTCTTTTGAAGCTTTCAAGACAGGTCTGTGGAGCAGATTGCTTTTCTTAAATCCTCTTGCTTTTCAGTTCTATTTTACTAGGTTAAAGTTTTGATATAATGAATCAAAATTGTTACTAGGTAGATAACTGGGCATAGACAGGGACATGTTCCTATGATGACACTTCACCCACATATTTTTAGCTGA